GCTGGAGGCAGGTGGGCATGGGGGCGGCCGCGCCTGCGGGTCGGTGGGGCGCTGAGAGGGTGGTGGCGAGTCCAGCCCCCCGCGGGGTCCCGGTTTGAGCAAGGGAAGCGGTCGCCGGTTTCCCCAGAGATAAATGCCGAGAAATACAGAGCGCGGCGATCCAGGTTGGAAACGTGTTGCGACACGGTTGGGGGGATCGAGGTAAAATACTGAAAATGCGGTAAAATACCAAAAGCTGAAAAACTGCGATATGGGTATTAGTCGAAAAGCTGTTGGCGTTTCCCCTAACTGCCTGAAATCGGGTCATCAGAGCGCGTCGGCCTGAGGGCGGCCGGCGTTACCGGCAGGGGGAGGACGTGCCTGAGGAAACCTCTGGGTATCTGGGCCCAGAGTTACCCACCGTGCTACTTGAAAAGTGGAATAAGTCATTACAGTCACGGTGCCTCCAGATTTATTTCATTATTAGATGGATTGGGATGACATAACTGTGAAACACTGCTAATACAGCTTCTTGGTTTTTTTTTAAACGATATAATGTATAATGCTTGAAACAGATACTTTTGAATCCTGAAAGAAATCAGATATGACTCAGTAAATTTGCCATGATTCCTCTTTTACACAGAAGCTATTTAATGGTCAAGTATGAGAAGTTTTGAAATACGGAAAGCCTCTTTTGGGTGTTAGTATTGGCATGGCATGATGAGAATAACCCGACAGTTCCCCTGCCCCCTCTGAATAAATAGCTTGTTACAGCTGGTCATTATACTTGTGACAGCAGGGTGGTTAACATAGCACATAAGATGAGAAAATATGACACAAGGGAAGTTTCGTGCTCAGCACAGAAGATCCAGAAATCTGCTGGTGCATTCTGCTTTCCTGTCTGCTGCAAACTTACTGTGTCTTTGGGAACTCATCAAGGACAATCTTGAAGAGGGGAAAAAAATGGTATGGGCATAGCACTACCTAAACAGAATTCAGATGCCAGACATTGTTTATGTATTTAACATAGCACAAATATCAGGTAAGCAGTCTTTGGAGCTCTGGTGGGAACACTGCTGTCTGCCTGTATTTACTTTAGCAGATAATGTGGCACTTGAGAAACAGTAGGTGAAACTTTTGCGGAATGAAACACTTTAGTGCTGGGGACCCAGTATGCACACACCTCATTTTAGGGGTTTTCCTTTGAACTACTGCTCACCTCCTGCATGGTGTCTTGTTACGTGAGCTTGCAATCCGCCATTGCAGTTTAGTTTAGTGTGGCTTTCTAAAAACTACCATCTTCAAGATTTCTCATAATCTGTGTCCTCTGTAGTCATTGAGAGAGTGTTTTTCAAAGTGGTTTGTCATTTCGGTGCTTTCAGTTATGAGGCAGTGTGAAGTAGTCAAGGTATAAATACCATTAGATTCTGTTGTTAAATCAGCATTGAAGCAGTTCAAAAATTAGTTTGCAACCTCATATTGGACACCTAGTGTCAGAAATGTCACGCTCTAGAATAATGACTGTTGCCAGCAGGCAGCTTAACAATACGATTTTGACTACAAAATATGACACTAATACAATCTAAGCATGGTGAAAAATGCTACAGGGTGAGCACACTGATTTATGTGTGCTATCAAAACCAAATTGTAGTATTTGATCAGGACTGTATATTTCTTTGTTTGGGAAAGTTAGGGCTGCTGGGTTTATTTTACAAGACCTTTTGGAACAAGACACTAGTTTTTCTTCCAAGTTTAAGCTGCTGCAATTCGGTACCTGTTGATGCTGCAGCTCTCCTTACAGATGCCAGCATGCATGCCTACGTGTCTGCTTGGAGTTAGAGATGGGGCTGGGGAGAGCAGGTACCTCCTGTTTCCTCAAACCAGTGGCCCCTGCTTGCAACACAAGGTTACTGGAATCAGCAGAACTTTGCCTGGGCAGAGCTTGTCCCATCATGTGTGCCCATTTTTTCCACTCCCTGTAGTGATTTTTTTTTTCAAATTCCGTAAGTGGAGACTTGAGATTAAGATGGCACTTGAGTCTCAGTTATCAACTGTTCGAAAGTATGTTTCTGCAGTTTTGGAAATCCGAGGCAGAGCAGGGAGCACCATTAGGTGTACTTGTAGCTAAAAGAACTGTGGATTAGTTGTACAGTGCAACAGATGTTGGGGCAATGTGCTCTCTTAGAGAAGCCAAGTTTTCCAAACAGAAGCACTGTAGTGAGGTACCAGAATAAGAGCTAATCACCTAAAAGATTCAGCCGTCTTGTCATCTGCAAGGAAGTTTGGTTTGGCAGCTGCAGCACGAAAAAGTGTATCCACCTGCGCCATAGACTTGGGAGTTTTTTAGTAAGAGCTACGTTCGACAAGGCTTTTTTTTGTCAGTGAAGAGGTCCTTGCCTCTTCCTCAGCTGCTTTCTTATTCCCATACTTGCTAAGCAAATACCCCTGTGCAGCTCCTTTCACCATCTTCCCTCATCAGATCATGCTAATCTGGGCCTTGGTGCTTGTTGATTTGTCTTTTGCTTGTTGATTTTGCTTGTTGGTTTGGTGCTTGTTGATTTGGGGTTTTTTGGTTTAGTTTTGTTTTTAACCTGTATCTGGTTTAGAATGAGACACCAACAACAGTTACATTAGCAGAAATGAGGGGATGATAAAGGTGGAGCATAAGGAAAGGTGTCTATCTTGAGTGCCCGTATTGACAAGAGAAATTCCAGTATCAGACCACACCTTTAATCTCTCAGTTGTCCATTTCATGGAGTCAGGATAATACTTCCCTAATTTATTATAAACAAGGAGTAAATTAAGCATTTGTGAGTACTCCATAGTTCATTGTGGAGATGACAAGAGAGCAGTGGGCTGATTTACCTGATGGTCTTACCACTGTATTGCGTTAGTTCCCTCCTAGAATGGTAACGTAGACACACTTGAACCAGATAGAATTAAATTAGTGTAAATCCTTTAAGAGTGCTGCCTTCAAAGCAAGGCATGTTCATCTCTTCATTATTGCTAATGTGCTAGAATGATAAATAAGTAGCACAAAAATCCCTTTATCATAGCTCTTAAGTGTATAACAATGACATTTTGTTTTCTAAGCCTTCACAAAGTGTGGCATTTTTGCAGTACAGCACAATTTGCTTACCTGAAGAGTGCTTTTTAACTGATTGAAATAGTTAGTGAGCACGAAAGAGAAGTGAAGGAGAAAAGGAGCTCAATATTGTCCTTATTAAATAGGCAAGGCAAAGGAAAAACAGAGGCCCACCACAAACCTACAAAGCATAGCAGTTTTTTAAAGGCAAAACACTTCAAAGATAGTTAAGCACAAAGTTTAAGGCAGCAGAGTCCTTTCCAGATCACAGGTTTCTTCATGGTTCATCACATGACCCTTCCCATGGGACTGGCCCCTTATTCGTTTGAAAAGAAACTTTCAGAAGAGGAAATAAATGGAGATGTAACATGGGAACTCCAGGATCCAGTTTTAGTGTTGGATGTGTCACATATATCCATGTATTTACATACATAGTTTTGCATGCATTCCTTCCATACCTATTTTTTACCCCCACAGGCAGTGAAAAATGCCTAAAAAGAAGACTGGTGCTCGTAAGAAAGCTGAAAACCGTCGTGAACGTGAAAAGCAGATAAGGGCTTCAAGAGCCAACATAGATCTAGCCAAACATCCCTGCAATGCTTCAATGGTAAAATAACCTAAAGTATTTTATATTGCAAGACTTGATTTTAAATTTTGTAAAACCAGTGAAAATACACTGTCTGTATTTAATGCCACTAGAATGCCATTCTTCCTACCATCCTTCGTCTATATTTAAGGTTACATTTGCATCAGAGGTATAATACTTGACTAAAAAGTTTGGTTCCTAATTGGAACTCAATGCAGAGCTTTTGGGGTCTGTAAAATTTTATATTTTATCTAGAATAAGAATAATTACCAATATTTATTTCTTTTCTTTAGGAATGTGATAAGTGCCAAAGGTAAGTATTTTTCTCCTAAAGCAGTAGCTTAATATTAATTGGTTTCTAACATTGTACATGTCTTTTTTAATGCTTTTTTTTCCCCCCCTATGTGCCCAGACGACAGAAGAATAGAGCTTTTTGCTACTTCTGTAACTCTGTTCAAAAATTACCCATTTGTGCACAGTGTGGTAAGTAGAAATAATGAAGAAAAACATGCTACCCTCAGTCTCATTTGTGATGTTAAACTCTCAGCAATTAGAGTACCTTTGTATTAAAGTACCTTGCAATTTTTGGGGTAAGTACCTTTGTGATTTTTTGAGCAAGTTCTTTTAAATCTGCTGTGAATATCCTCCTTGAAAAGAGATCTTGCTTGATCATACACTTGTGCGTATGTTTCTGACCCCCAGAGGTTTGCAAGTCTGGGACATGGGCTTGTCTTCAGCATTTGATCTTTGGAAGAATTTGTCTCACTGCCTTTTAGGATTGAGATCATCTGACTGACCACTTCCGTAGATTGACCATGTGGGGTATTGTTTCATAACGACAGCAAAGTTAAAAAGCTTCTGACTGTCAGCAAGGCACCCATAAGTACTATCTTTTGGGGATGATATAATTGCTGATAACTTTCATATCAATTAAAGAAACAGTACATTATTATCTTGCATGGCTTTGTAACATAATACGCACTAGAGGGCTGACGTGTTGAAATCAGAAGAGAAGGACTCCTCATGACAGAACCGGGTTCTGAATCAGGCTTATATGCCTTTTTTTTTTTTTAACAACTGCTTGCTTGCAGGGGATCTTGATAATAATTTCATACTTTCAGGTGAATTTTGTTGCTTTACTATTTCAATACATCCTGGCAGATTTACAGTTTGTCACACACACACACACACACACACACAGAATCGCTCGGTTGGAAAAGACCTCTGAGATCATCATGTCCAACCGTTCCTGTCTACCCTCTAAACCATATCCCTAAGTACCTCGCCTACCCGCTCTTTAAATACATCCAGGGATGGTGACTCCACCACCTCCCTGGGCAGCCTGTTCCAGCTTCTAACGACCCTCTCAGTAAAGAACTTCCTCCTTATCTCTAACCTGAACCTCCCTTGGCACAGCTTGGTGCCATTTCCGCAGTTTAACTGTTTTGTAGTTTGACTCTGAGCTGCTGACATCTGCAGCTTCCAGTGCCTCTGTTGGGACCTTCAGACACAGCATTTCCAGAAGCCAGGCTGGTAGTGTGTCATCCTTCATAAGTGCTCCTCCTGTCATCATGCAATGAAGTGCTAAAACCATGTTGTCTGTCTTACAGTATATTATACATGTGAAGTTGACTTGTGTTTCTGGAGCAAAAGCATTCCTAATGACCACAAAATTACAGAGTCCCAGAGTTTTCCAAGACAAAGAGCATTAGAGCTGTTTGGTGCTTAATCAAGCATTGGTGACAGCCCCCATAAACCAACAGCATCTTTCCTAGAGAAGTCCCTGAGGGATGGGAGCAAGGTAGCTGTACTGTGGTGCTGCAGACCCAGTAATACCCCCACCACCTCACGTTGCCCAGTGCAGCCCACCACTAGTCCTTCCTCACCCCTGCAAATGTCATTTGGTATCTGAGGTGTGTTTTAATACAAAACTCTGATGATGCTGCATACTAGGATTTAATTGCATTTTCAGAGTAGAATTTGGTTTTGTCAGCTCTTGAATGGGCTTGCAGGGGGCAAGACAGAGAGACTGTGGCTTTTTCTTCCAGCTGTCCCCTGCATTCAAAAGGAATTATTTTGTCTCAGACATGATCTCTTCCATGGTTTTAAAAAAGAAAACCAAACAACAACAAAACCACCACCACCAAAAAGCCGAGTATCCAAGTACCTCCAAGTAAATAAAATCAGGTGCACGTGTTTTTTTCAGAGGACCTCAGCCTTGCTTGCCGCACACGTTGCTTTTATGGTGGGGCAGAACTAGCAGCAGTTTTAAATGCAACTTTTGAAGATGTCATTGCTTGACTTTTACCTTTCTTTGTTCTTTGGTTTGCTTTGACATTTGAAATTCTTGCCAGTGCCTCAAAACATATAGCAAGACAACACATTGCCTCATTATCTCAGCACTGGGCAAGAGATTTTGGCTGAAAACAGACAATTTTATCTAAGGGAGATGTGAGAGTGGATTGCAGGTCGCAGTCATTTGTTTGCATTATTTTTACTTAGATTTACAATTAAGAGCAGGCATTTGGTTGAAGTACTGCTCTTTTATGAACATTCATTCTAATTTTTTATTTTTATGTAATTTTCTTCTGGTTGCTTTTTTTTTTAAACAGGGAAAACCAAATGCATGATGAAGTCTTCAGACTGTGTTATAAAACATGCTGGTGTGTACAGTACTGGACTAGCAATGGTGGTATGTATACAAAATTACAGTCTTTTTTGCACTATGAGTTTATTCTGTGCAATTCTTCCTGAAAAAAAGATAAACTAGGTTTATGGAATGATAGCATGTACCATGATAACATTTTTTTCCTATATCTTGCCATCACAAACTGATTTTTGCCTTATATTGGAAACCCAAATGTTGTGGGTTTAGATTCAATTCATGCAAACTCTGATGCATGTCCTGGATGCTAACAGATCTGTGTTGGTGACAGGCCCTAAGCATATGCATTAAAAGCGCTGGAGCTTACATGCCCCATAGCCAATTCCCAGTCACTATTATTGGAGAGACCATCAGTATCAGAGAGAGAAATGTGTTTCGTGGCATCAGATGGGAATTTTATTTTACACAAATTTATCATTTGTGCTCTTAGCAGAACTAGTCATAGCTTCTGGCCTTTGAATTTTTGTTCTTAGAAGAACAAGTTAGTTACGCCATTCTGGGAAGCAAGGCATGAAATGTCATAGCCTCTGGTTTGAATTCTGTATGGACTAAACCTGCGTCCTGTTTCTGCCTCCAGTTGGCAGTCAGCTTCTCTCAGAAACACAGTTGGCCTTTCCAGTCTGAAGTTCCTAAACTCATTCCGTGCACTCACCGACACTATTTTAAATCAACAATTAATTTGCATGGACTATTGTTTTCTTAGTTTTGTGTGCATTATATGCACACAGCAGTTTGTTACATACAGGCTGAGGAGGCTTCTTAAATGGTAGAGTTAAAGGATGGTTGATGTGTAGCTCTTGCAGTTTAATCAAAATGAAATTAAAGAATCTGACATATTTCTAATGAGTTATTTGGTCTTTGCTGTCTACAGAGCTTGTGTTTCAATATATTATGGTTTAAAATCTGAATGAATGATTTCAGCTGTAAGAATCTAGTGACATTTTTCAGGTCTTCTTTGAAACTGCATTTTTGCCATAATATTGTTATCATTTATGGATCTCAGGTTTCAGCTGGAGGACAATTTTCATGCATAAGATCTAAGATATGAAATATTAAAAAAAGGGAGAAAATCAAGTTATTTTGCATTGTATTTAATCTTGCAGAAATGAATATCAAACAAGATGAACTGTGGAGTAGCTTGATAAGAATACAGATGGGGTTGACTCTTTCTTGCTTAACTGGAATGAACCTACTGATAGAATGGATACTTCGATACTTTCAGGGTTATAAGTAAGAGTCTCTCTAGGTATTGCAGAAGTCCCAAGATGGTATCTTTCTGTAATTGCAGGGTGCAATCTGTGATTTCTGTGAAGCTTGGGTGTGTCATGGGAGGAAATGTCTCAGCACACATGCATGTATCTGCCCTCTTGCAGACGCAGAATGTATTGAGTGCGAAAGAAGCGTCTGGGACCATGGTAGGTTACTCATGTTTAAAAATTAGAAAATCTAAATAATACTTTTCCCCTGATGTTGCTTAAGTTATTTTACATATATTCGTAACATAACTTTTTAAAGTTTTACTGATTAGTCCTTGCAGTTCGTTTGTTCAAAGCAAGGCACTCTCTTCATTTTAAAAATAGACCTGATGCAGTGGAGGATGTAAATGACCTGCCCAAGAACATACAGTGCTCGACTCAGGGATGTTTATGTATTCTAGTGTATTATGTGTCCTATCAGCTGAATGTTTCACATAATTAGGCACCACATCAGATTGTTAACAAAATTTTCTGCCATTCCCACTCCATTCATCTGCAGTAGTACAGGTATTCAGATTCCCAGTTGCTTGGGAAACCATACTCATCTCCATTTGTGGCATCCTTAAAAGTGTGAATTTCAGTGCATCAGAGGGGAGGGGGTAGAAAGGAAGGAGACTGAAGGAGACAGAATGTGATCTGATTTAAGAAAAATACTTAATGCCATAGTCAAATTACAATGACAAGGACTAGAAGTAACACTTGCTTTATATTTATGCTGTTATAATGGATGGCAGTATCTAATTTAGGACTTTGTTGAAGCATTTGTGATAGAAGGGAGAACTAGTCTTCAGTCAAAACTACTGCCTAAATAGTTTGCAGAGCAGAACTTGATGCCTGTTGCTGATGATTTTTGCCTTGATAAATCTTTCAGGAGGCAGAATATTTGCGTGCTCTTTTTGCCACAATTTCCTTTGTGAAGATGATCAGTTTGAACATCAAGCCAGCTGTCAAGTTTTAGAAGCAGAGACATTTAAATGTAAGTTATTCATAGTCCCTTTCACCAGAGCTATACAGACTTTCCAGTTACTTCTTCTGTGCCCCAGAATACTCTCCATTACCTTTTCCAAATAGATTGCTTTTCCCACCACTGGAAGAAGGAGCCTCTTTCCGCTGTGCTTGGTCTTAATATTGAGTTATTTAGACTAGACCCTTTCTCTCTGACCTCCCTCCATGCCAGATTGCACAGTTTTTTCCTGACCAGTGGACTGTGAACATGTGTGTCAGTAGATGTATCACATGTTGATACATGTTCACTTCCAAGAACAGGTAGCTGAAGACTATGTCCTGAACTTTTAACTGTGTGGACAAACTGAAACTGGTAGTTGTAAGAGGTCAGGGTGGCCATGCCTGACTTTGCTAGTCCACTACTCATCTCTGGTTGAAACAGGGAATCTTCAAGGGAAGTTAAATCAAAACACAAACTAGCCAAGGCTATGCATGTTTGAAGTAACAAATCTTCTGCAGAAGTATTTATTTTTTCTACCCACTATTAAGTACTATTTGGTTTATCCTACGAGACAAGCATTTGTGCCTTCCAAAACTTGTATGCATGTATTTTGACTATTACAACACTTTCAAGCCTTATATAGAAATTCAAGGAGCTCTTTATGATGTGTAAGACTGTTTTCTTCAGAACTGACTAATGTCTTGTCCTAATTGATTCCTCCCAATTCAGAATATTTGTTGATTTCAATGTTGTAGTCTGTCTTTAGAAATCTCTTCTCTCCTTTTCATCTCCCATCCTTTTTTCGCCCAGCCAGCTATTTTTTAAGCCTTGATTAGCTTCTCTTGATGTATTCTGCCAGAGTATCTTCCTGCATAGCAATATTGAAGCAGCAACAGCTGTTCCACAAGAATGATTTTTTTCTTTCTCAGTGATTGTTGGAAGCTTTTAATTCACAGATGTGATGTCACACCCTGAATAGAAAAATTGCTTTTTGAGGGTTTTCACTGTGTTCAATGATTTGTGGTACAGTGCAGTCTTGGCAGAGGAGCAGGATTTTTGTCAATGTGTGGTAACAAGATTATAAAACCTGAACTTCTACAGAATACATGAACTTTAAATGTGGTCATGCAACTGTAGTCTGAATTTCATTCTAGCTGTGAAAAAGGTTGTGTTACTCTCCATCACCATCTGAGAGAAGTTTTTTAAAATGCAGATACTCCAGAAATGATTGCACATATATGCATTAACATTTGTAATTCCATATTTAAACAAATGACAGAGTGCTAACTCCCATGGCTGTCCTGCTCGTGCAGAGAACTCACGATATTTGTTACTTCAGATTCAAAAACTTTATCACAGATGTAAGACAAGGTGGAAGGGAGTGAGTACTTGCTCAGAGACTGATAATATATGTATTACTGCTTCCTGCAGCTTCATGTTGCTGCCAGTTCCTGTGTGGCTGCTTTTGCTGTACTCCCTCTAGTGGAGTAAAGAAACCAGTTTGCAGCTTCAAGACAAGCTGCATTTTGAGCAGCAGTTCTGGTCTTGACAGGTCATGTGCCGGCTACAGATTTTAACATGAAGTCATGTGCAATAAAGTATATTTCCAGAGGACATGACAGAAAATACAGAACAAAACAACTGTTCTAGGTTTGCAAGTTTGCAACCCTTAAGTATTCTCAAATCCCATTTAAATGAGATAAAAATACTAAAGGCTGCCATGGCACTGTTTAAAGTGTCTGTAAAATGCTAGTGTTTCTTCCTTTGACATTGTGAGAAAAGGAAAAGCAAGATGGTCACTTGATACCAAACTCGTTCTGAAACTTCTGTTTTCAAGAGTTTGGAAACTCAAGAAATAAACAAGGTTTTTCCTCTCTTCAACTTTTACTTTTTGTGTCAAATTACATTACTGCAATGAGGCTTAGACTTGTTAAAATGGTACAGTATGTTAAAATGACTGATTCATGTTTCCAAAGTGTAGTTGTGCCAGGGAATTAAAAATAAATGCCCTAATTACATTATTAAATACTTTCACAAGGTGTTAAAAAACATTACAGATCTGCAGTTTCTAAGTACTGAATTTTACATATTGATTTTCTCCAACAGGTGTTTCCTGTAACAGGCTTGGGCAGCATTCATGCCTGCGTTGTAAGGTAAAGAGTAAAGACAGTTGCCAGTAGCTGTGATTTTAGACTTGTTTCTGGCTTTCAAGGCTGGTATCAAGTCTTGTCATGTCTTCTTCTGCATGGCTACAGAAAATATCTATACTTTTTGTATTAGTTTCTGAATCCTGGGGGCAGACTTATGGGGGACAAAAAGGCTTTTATCTGTGCTTGCCTGTTAACAACAACCCAGTGTTGTGCATCCTCATGCCAGGTGAGGTAATCTTCACTTTGTCCAGCCCTCTGTTTCAATTGGGCCTGTACCATGTTTGGGCCTTTTAAGAAAACAAACAACAAACTAACCAACAAACAACCAAAACCACAAAACAAAACAAGGCAAAAAAATCCTTGGTCTTTGGAATATGTTTTCATCCAGGGGAGAACTAAGACAATTAAAGTTTCTTTAAAATAGTCAAGTGATGATCTGACCAGGAAACACTGCAGCCTAGACCCAAAAGAAATAATCTCTACAGCTAATACAGTTTCACATATGCACAGGCTAATTTGTTGACATCAGGCTTTTGGTTTTACACACTCAGAAGTAATGTTGTATCAAAAGTTCCACCTGTTTCACCATCAGTGTTGCCCAGATTTCTCCAGGTGCTGGTTCACTGCCTGCTGTCTCTTCTCTTACCCTCTGTATTTTTCCCTGCAGTCCCCTATGGCATCAATTTCATATTCCAAATCGTTCCTTTCTCCAGATATTTTCACTGGCACCCAGGTGCTCAACGTGTGAAATTTCAATCTCTCCTTCATGCCTTTAGGTCACTGCATAGTTATGTTCTGGCATACATCTCTGCTTGTATTTTATTTAAGCTTGCCAACGTAAACCAAAGGTTGCCAAGCTCCTTGTGGGCAGCAATATAATCCAGTCCTTGAGTATGTTACTTTCTCTACTTGTTTATTAGCACTTTTATGCAGCCTTTTCTGCAGGAAGCCATGAAACTACATTCAACACAGAAGTGGTTGCTCTGTGCATAGTGTGCGGACTCCAGTTCCAGTGCAGATAGAGTTTATTAAATTTTAATCCCAACCACAGAATCCTGCTGCTGTTAGACACCTTTTTGCTTGCTTCTTGCTGAAAAGTATGGTTCTATGATTAAGACATTTAGCCTTTTCATTCTCCTTTCACCACACAGGCTTGTTTTTGTGACGATCATGTGCGAAGTAAGGTTTTCAAGCAGGAAAAAGGAAGAGAGCCTCCCTGCCCTAAATGTGGCCATGAAACTCAGCAGACAAAGGATCTGAGCATGTCAAGTAAGCCTGTTTCTCTAGCTAACAAGCTACAGAAGCACCATTGGTGACTGCTTTCCTGTGTAGGAACACTCAGTAAAGTTCAGTTACTTTCAATTGTTTTGCAAAGCTTTGCTGCATTTGTTTCAGTAAAAAACTTCGTGTTTCTTAGTTCTAGAATTGGGCAGTGTCTCATTCCTAATAGTTAATTCCAACATAGTGAAAGCTTTTGTATAGTTTGAGATTTTAGTTACGTAAAAGTTGCAAAAAATCACCGCTTAAGACTTCATGTCTTCTAAGAAGCTAATGAATTTTGATGTGTGATTTGATGACGTGCATACGGTCTACCTCAGCCACTCTTGAATAAATCACAATATTTATTATGTATGGAAAGCACATCCAATATAAAAGTTTTCTTGGCTAGAGTACCAAAGGTTTATCCTAAAGCCTAAATCATACTCTGGGGGCAGTTATTGTTTATGCAAACTTGGCTGCAGGGGGAGAGACTGTGTGTAGCAGAAAGCTTCTGTCAGAGTAGGAACTAAATCTGAAAACATCAGATTTAGAAAAACGCTGTTTAACATAGTACACTCTGAGTAGTAAAAGAGGATGGAAATAAGCATCAGATGCTCCGCTCAAATTGCTGTTGAGGGGTAAGAACATGATGATTTTTCTCTGCCTGCAGCACGCTCTTTGAAGTTTGGCCGACAGACTGGAGGTGAAGATGCAGATGGAGCTTCTGGTTACGATGCCTACTGGAAGAATCTCTCCTCCAGCAAGGCTGGAGATGCAGTTGATCACGAGGATGAATATGATGAATATGAAGCAGAAGATGATGACGAAGATGACAATGATGAGGGAGGGAAAGATTCTGATACAGAGACCACAGATGTATTCAGCAATTTGAATTTAGGAAGGACCTATGCTAGTGGATATGCACATTATGAGGAATCTGAAGATTAAGCTTAGTATGCTGGTAAGCTAAAAGCATTCAAGAAGAGCCAAGCAGTGCTTCACCTGAGTTATGTATGTGCCAGTAGGATAGCTTTATCAGGTACTTACATATCTAAATTAGAGATTAAAGAGTGTGGGACTTCTGCAGTAACTCCAAGTGAACTTTTTCTTGGTATAAACCAATACTGGGTTTGCGACTGGGGGAAGAAAACAAGAGTATTTTTATTTCTCTAAGCAAAGTGGCTTTGTCCTTGAGTTACCGATTATAATGATTCAATGCCATTTTCCCTATCAGTACAGGAATGTGGGAAGGCTGTACAAGTTGTTTCCATTTGCTCATCAGAAATTAAGTTATTTTTTACAATAATTTTGTTAACTGATTTCATACAATTTATGTCATGGTGGGTTAGTGACTGCATTTTTTGGTCTGTACAATAAAAGTCAGCTGCATTCTCTAAAATAAGTCTCATAAATATTGATCTTCCTTGAATAATTGGAAAGCAGGTTGTATACAAAGTGTAAATTGACACTAAAATAACTTTGTTGTTTATGTAGGCAAGGCATATCAGTGTAGTTCTCGATGTACTTGAACATTACCTTTCCAGCATTTTTAGTATTAGATATTAATCAGTGGGGCTATATGCAGTCATTACAGGTGCACCTCAGATAATAAAAGATTTTATTGCAATAAAAATGTTGGTGTATCCTCTCTGCAGCTAAACTCTATAATAGACAATTTCTCATTAAATCAAAAGGAGACTGGCTTCTTCTGTGCCTAGCCTTCAGCTCTTTTCTTCAAAAACAATACAAAAATAAAAAATTGATAGGAAACAACCCCTGTATACGAATTGATAAGGTGAGAAAACACAGGGGGTTCAAAATACTGGGTTCAAATACTGTTCTGTGCAAATATGCTGGCACAAGGCAAGTGATAAGCACATCTGAGCTGAGCAGGTGACGCTTGCAGAAATGTTTGCAGTGATTCTGATTTGAAAGTCAACATATTAATTGCCTATCTACATATCTAAGTGATAGAATTTAGTTTCCTCCTTGAAAGGAATGTTAAGAGGATAGAGACTTTAACAACAGACAGGTTGTTACAAGGGCAGCCACCTAAAGTCTTACGTCAGCTTTCTAAATGCCATGCTTAAATACAAGGAAGCTATTTCTTGTTATCTGCCAACTGTCTGAATCGATTATAGAATTACCTACTTTTGTAGTGCTTTCTCTACTGTTTCTTAACAGCTAAAGGTCGTATGTTGGCAGAGCATATCCTGTTGAGAATGGTTTTTAACAATATTAGGATTGCCAAATGAGTATTTCCTAACAAAACAGGATTGAGGAACTTGGCCTTGATACTTCCCTGCTAAATGCCTCTCATACCAAATGCATAAAAGACATGAGCTGGAATGCATCCAAAACAAAAACAAACCAACGCAGAGCACAACTTGGTTATGGCAGCTGAGGGAAGAAACTGTACTGAGAGGGTCATGACCTGATCAGTGCACATCAAGTGCTTACCTTCGGAACCGGAGAGGAAAAAAACAGTTAATGCTGTGTCTGAAAACCAAATTCCCTTCAAAATTTGAAACTCTAGAGCTGTCCAGTTTCATATGCTAGGGAAGACCTACCCATCTTAAATTACGTATCCGACAGATATCTTGATTGGTCTTTTGCATAACCAAAGTTAGGGAGGTAGGATGCCTGCCAGTTTGACAGTGATTACTTATTTGAGAAATTGGCACCTGTGGTAGAATTTCTGTTGAACTTCATGTGTTCTGAAAACTTCCTCAGCTGAGCCCATCTGTGGATTGAGGAAAGGATGTGCATTTCTGGATATACGTAAAATTATAGCTGCTTGTGTGTCATTTATTAATATTATTGCTTAAACAAAATTCCCTTGAAGGTTCTTGGCTCTTGATTTAGATTTTTCCCATATGAAATTTGCTGCCGTCACTGGCTGTGCCAAAGGCTGCTGATGTAACAAAGTTAATCATCATAATCAGAGTAAAGAATTACTCATTTTCTTACTGAAATGTCCTTGCACTGATCCTTGCAAGATCAGTCCTCCAGAACTAATGCATATCCTGATGATAGTGTTGCAAGAGAAGGTCACAGCACTGCCTGCAACAGATGCTCAGGGTCCTGCTGTAATTTAGCAAGGTCACCACTTGATGGACAGAGACGTTTGTTTGTTTTTTCTCTACTGCTGTTCATACCACTGAAAATGCCTGTGCTGTGAACCTGGCTGGTAATAGGGCCCAGGTATCAGATGTGCAGTTTCTAGCCTTCAAGGGGTCAAAACAAGCAGGTTTAAGCTGCTTTAGAGTAATCTGGTGGATTCAAGCTAGAAGAGACAAGCATGACCTCATTTTCTGCTAAATGGAGTTGGTTGATTTGTGACAGGACAGGCAGGATGTAATGCTACAGGTTGCACACTCTCATCCTTCTCTGCTTATTTAATAAAGTTAAAAGCATGTGGTCTGTTGAGGATAGGTCCTCAGAGCTTGCTTTCATAGAAAGTGCATCATTTTTTCCTTGTCTTAAGGTAAATTGCAGGAACAGAACGAAATAGAGAATGAACTCCTATCCTGGCTTCATTGAAAAGCAGGTCTGGGACAAACTTCCAATATTGTCTGCTCCATTTTTCTTCATTGCTGTTAGTCTACTTTGAAGTGTCTTGGGGGAGTGCTAGTAGGGCAGTGACAGGGCTGTAGACCTACACCTAAAATGTAAATTACTTCTCCATTTACTTGTTTTTCTGAATTCAGCAGCCAAGTTAGCTTTTGCTAAATCTGAAGTTGAGGATGCTCTGCTACTGATGACATACGTTTTACAGCTCTCAGGATCTCAAGCTAATTCAGACACTGCCACAATCCACCAAGCACTTTCAGGTAACTGCTGTGCTGCTTCTGTCAAAGACAGGTGATTTTTCCAGTGACTCAAGTCCAGAATTTAGTGCCTGGGTATGCAAGAACACCCTTGCATTGACTGCATGTTTTTAAGACTACAGAGTGTGCTTTGTGGTGGGGCAAGGGTCAAGATAAACAGTCCTGAGATTGTGCATGACAGTGACTTTTCCTTTGAAAATCCTGTCCCTGAATAAAGGAAATCCTGAGCTGAGAAAAGGATAGTTTTAACAGGTAATCAGGAATACTTGAGAGTTACATACAGTACTCCACAAAAACTAAGATCTTTGAAGTCTTACACTTACTTTAGTTTTTTCCACTTCCTTGATGACCACTGAAACAAAGCTTAATATTTATTGTGCCTGTAGGCACTAAAAAAGAAGAGCTCTAGACCTCTGAAAGCTCTTTTCTGGCCTTAGTTTGTTATGGTGGCAGCACCAGTTCACTATGAATTCATTGGGTGCTTACATGGATTTAATGCATTTCTATTTATACTCAGGTGTGATTTAGCACCTGAGACTGGGAGTCTTTTGGTCAGTCCTGTTGCAGTGTTCGTGTAAATTCATGTGAATATCATTGCAATGTACGGAACAGCTTCAACTTCCAGTTGATCAAGTAGTAGCATGCATGTGGCAGAGAACTAGAGGACAAGCTTCAGAAGTGCTTAAAGTCTTCTTTGTTCAGGAAGAGCATACTAACGCATCTTACGAGACACTACACATATCTATCCAGGTCCTGATCCTATTTCCAGGGTAACCAATGGCAAAGCTCCTATTTGTCCAAGTAGGGGCAACTGAATAATCTCCAGTACATGCAGTTCGTCTTAAATTGTCCAGAGGTATTATGGAACCTTTGAGGATGAGCTGAGGTGAGGAAGATGGAGCAAAGCTTAACATGAGGTTAATGTGCTACAATTAGCATAAAAATGTGTTCCAAATTCCAGCAATTCTAGTGGAAAGTACTTTCAAGACTTAAAGAGGAAGCTGTTTAAAACAAGAAAAGATAAGGGTTTTTTTAAGGTTTTTTTTTCTACAAAACATATTTAACAAGATGTAGAAATTTACTCGTCTCCTGAAAGTCTGCATGTAGTCCATAAATATTTGCTAAAAGATCAAGGCAATTAGGACACAGACAAGTTTTATCATCTCTTCTTTGTAGGTACATAAATAGAAAACGCAGTAATTGACAAAATCACAGCCCAAGCGATCCAGTTGGCAACAGCCCTCTGCAGCTTGGACTCTCCATCTCCTACCCATAAAGCTCCAGAGTAAATGACACTCCTTCATTAAGATCATGTGTACTGTAATTAGCTACCACACATCTGAAATTTGAAGAAGGGCCTACTTTTATCTTTCAGCTTCCATGGTCAGAATAGACAAAATACCAGGAGAATGTCACAGATGAGAGGGTCATTCCATGGAAATGCCACTGGTTTCCCTTTGCTAAACGAACAGTAGGCTCACAAGCCTGTACTTTGTCTTCTGCAGCTATTTACTTCATCAGATACTCCTTCAATATGGAGGGAAGAAAAAAAAAAAAATCACATTTCAGCCTCTTGCCAAATTAAGGTACTGCTAGTAACCATACAGGTTTGGTGTTAGTTTACAACCACCCCATTTTTAAGTACTACACAATGCTTTTCAAAAAGGAAAGATAAACAACTGCAAAGCACGAGAAAACCTTTCGTAGCCAGCTCTACCCTTTTCTAACACTGAAGTATATAAAATGTTTGCTGCATTCTTTTTAACCCCACTTCTGAAGCCATACAGTGATTCTTGCAGAGTCCCTGAAACTTAAACGTAATTGGAAATTCACTTTTGTTTCCTTCTGAAACGAGAAGTGCTGAATGCCTACAGGGCCTGAGTAATATTTCGACTTCATTGTGATGTTACATGACATCTGTTGTTGATTTTCACATTACAAAACCACTGACTAAATTTTATTTTAATTTTTATTAGAGAGCTAGAATGCCAAAGACCCACAATTTCTTTAGCAGGTAGTACTAACATTTTACTGCTATATTTGCCCATTGGTCTTCCTGCTGTTTTATTTTTGGCAGAGAGAAAGAGGTTGATTCTTTTGAAAGTGAATCACTGCTAGTCAGGCACATAAACCCTTGGGCTGCCTCCAGTCTGATTTAAATTCAGCACCTTACTTTGATGGCAGAGACAATGATGAGTTCCTTTGAGATTTCCCCACCAGCAGGAGAGAAGTGCAAGGACCTCACCCTTGGTGTCAGCATCAATTCAAAGTGGTGTGCTCTCCTGCCAGTTCAAGGTGGTAACAACTGAAACGTGACCTTTCTCTAGACTATTTTG